GCGAGTTCCTGGCCATGGGCGAGTGGTACAAGCGGCGCGGCATTCCGCACCGGCGCGGCTACATGCTCTACGGCGAGCCCGGCTGCGGCAAGAGCAGCTTCGCCACGGCGCTGGCGGGCGAGCTGGGCCTCAACCTGTGCGTGTGCAGCCTGGCCAGCGCGAGCCTCGACGACGACTCGCTCCAGGAGTTCCTGCGCAAGATGCCCAAGGGCAGCATCCTCCTGCTCGAGGACATCGACGCCGCCTTCATCCAGCGCACGAAGAATGTCGGCCAGTCGCACAGCAAGAACAAGGTCACCTTTAGTGGCCTTCTCAACGCGCTCGACGGTGCCGTGGCGTTCGAGGGCTCGCTGGTGCTGATGACCACGAACCACCGCGAGCTGCTCGACCCGGCGCTCACCCGGCCGGGACGCGTGGACATGGCGATCTACGTGGGTCTGGCCCGCCGAGACCAAGTGCGCCGCCTGTTCGCCTACTTTTACCACCCGTGGGAGGCCCAGAAGAACGAACGCGACGACAGCGAAGACGACAAGAAGAACGACAACAACGGCAAGGGGCGCCTAGCTGAGTTGGACGAGCTGGCGCGACGGTTCGCGGAGCTGGTGCCCGAGGAGAGGCTGTCGATGGCGAGCCTCCAGGGCTTCCTGCTGAGGCATAAGCTCGACCCGCAGGCGGCGATCGACAACGTGGAGCGGTTCGTCGAGGCCGAGCAGGAGCGCATCAAGAATGAGAAGGCCGCCAGACGGAAGAACAAGAAGGCAGCAGACGACAACGACAACGACAACGATGATCAAAATGACGAGGCCAAGGTCGACGAGAACAAGGAAGAGGAGGGGGAGAAGGAGGTCAAGATCGCCGAGGCCAAGGTAGGAGAGGTCAAGGAGAATGAAGTGGCAGCTGACCAGCTCGAGGGGATTGTAAGTGCCTCCGCCACATCCGCCTGAACAGGAGAAAGACTTGCGGATACTTAAATTGGAGTAAAACACTTGTACACACCACTTGTAACCACACCCAAATTCAGTGGAGAGAAGTCGAGACGAACGGGGCCGCGCCGCATGATTCCTCTGCAGCTTTTCGTGTATTTTCTCCGCACAGGGTCCGGGGCGTGCATGCTCGCGCCACCTGTCCTTTGTGGCTTGGCGCTCACCGTGCGGCCTTTGGGACCCCAACCCGATCGTCGTGGTCGAGCTCGCCATGGAGCCGCTACTCGACGGCCCATGTCAAGTACAACGACTTGAAGAAGCCCAAAGGAGAGGTAAGAGAGTGCTTTTTGAAACATCACGAGGAGAGGCAAAAAAAAGGATCATTTTTTCACAATGTGTGCACGTTTCCTGCGCGAGCTGACGTTCGTTTTTAGTGGGCAAGTCCGAGCCACAAAGTTCCGCCGAAGAGTGTCAACGCCCAACTCGGCGGCACAGCACCCAAGCGTGCATGCAGGTTCGCGTGCACGTGGAGGAGTGGTCTGGTGGCCGTCGTATGCTGCCTGGCGACTTTTCACCCGCCCAAGTATAAAATAGAGAGGGACGCACACCTAGTCACCTACACACCACACAACACAGACCAGGAATACAACAAACATGACCACCACTCTTAGGCTGAACGACGTGCGTCTCCTTGGTTCCCTGACCTTAAGGTGATCTTTTGCTGTTGTTTCGCTCACACACAACCACACACTCAGGTCATCACCAAGAACCCGCACTGCTGTAAGGAGAACGACTCGATCCTGCAGGCGGCCAAGCTGATGAAGGAGCAGAACGTGGGCGTGCTGCCGGTCGTGGACAACAACCAGAAGCCGTGCGGCATCGTGACCGACCGCGACATCGTGCTCCGCTGCATCGGCGAGGGCCACGACTACAACCAGTGCAAGATGAAGGACGTCCTGTCGAAGAACGTGCAGAAGATCTACGAGGACCAGACCGTCGACGAGGCCCTCGACATCATGAAGAAGAACCAGCTGCGCCGGCTCGTGTGCGTCGACCGCAACGACAAGCTGTGCGGCGTGCTCTCGCTGTGCGACCTCGCCCAGAAGCTGAACGACAACAACCTGCTGGGCGACCTCGTCCGCAACATCCACCTCCAGAAGGGCACCCAGCGCACTTAGTGCACACCCTCGGCCTTCGCCTCCGCCTCTTCTTCTTCTTCTTCTTCATGTCATGTCCAGCTTGCCTCGCACAACGCCGAGCCACCCAAAATAAAGAAGCAGAGAGAGAGATGGGCAATCGAACCTTTTTGGCTTCAATTCATGGGTGGCTCCTAGAGGTCGGCCTCGTGGTCGCTGACCACTGAGTCCACGGGCAGCCGCCAGTATCGCCAGTCCTGCTGGTCGACCTCTTCTTCTGCAGCCCTGACGCCGGGCTCTTCGACGTCGATCGCCTGCGCAGTTCCAGTGCGCCGCATGCCGGCGATGCTCGTTGTTCCCTCTTCGTCATCATCGTCGGAGCGTTCCTCCACCTCCGGGGCGGCGTTGGTCGCCGAAAACAGAGCCTCGACTTCGAGGTGGCCCTTGATCGCCGCCCACTCTGCGGCCGTCTTGCCCTTCCCTGCACAGAGCCTGACGTCAGCATTCGTACGAAGAATGCAGAGAATGGTGGTATGGCAGGCAGGCATGCGTACCCCGAGCGTCTCTGATCTCCGTGTTGGCCCCGTGGCGCAGCAGTAGCGCCGTGACCCGCACGAAGCCCTTGGCCGCTGCGTAGTGTAGCGGGGTTCGCCCGTTGCGCATGCGCGCGTTCACATTGGCCCCGTTCTCGAGCAACAACTCGCACAGGTCGTAGTTGTCCCTCGCCGCCGCTAGCCACGCAGATGACGACGATGACGAATGCCAGATATCAGACCACCGCAAACGCTCAAGCGCTCGTTGGTACCTAGATGTAGGGGCGTCTTCCTCTGTTTGGACTGCGCGTTGACGGCCACCTGGTAGCCCAGCACGAGGGCCCGGGCCACAACGTTCTGGTTGTGCTCACAGGCCGCGTGCTGCGTCGTTTGATGACACGTCAGCAATAAAGCAGTGGACGATGATGGTGGCGGGTGGTGGGCGGTGCCCGTACGAGCGGAGTCTCGCGGTCGACGTCCTGGGCGTGGGGGTCGGCGCCTCGTCGTATGAGCGCGTGGCAGGCCTCCTCGCCACCGGCAATCGCGGCAAAGTGGAGCGCGGTACGCTCATCCCGATCCCGAGCATCAATCTCGGCGCCGGCTCTGTGCAGCGTGTGCAGCGTGTCAACGAGGTCGACCATGAGCAGAGAGTGGTGGGCTTGAGTGGTATTCAATGCGCAAAGCGAAGGTCCCACGTACTGGAGCAGATGGGAGATCAGGTAGGCGTTGTCGCGTTCGGCAGCAAGGTGGAGCGGCGTCTCTCCGTTGTCGTCGTGCACATTCACGTCCGCTGATATCGAGCAGAAGCGCCTCTAATGAGCAAACAACAGCCAAATGTATGCGCGTGCGTGTCGTGTGCGGTGGTGTGTGCGCGTGTGCGGTGGTGTATGCGGTGGTGCGTGTGCGGCCTACCTCCGGCGGCGATTAGCATTTTCATGATGTCCTCGTTCTGCACGAACGCGGCCCGGTGGAGTGCGGTGCAGCCTTCGTTGTCGCGTATGTTGGGATCGGCGAGCGGGCCGCCCTTGACCTTGTTCCAATTGAGCAGCACCCACGTCACCTTCTTGTCACCGCGTGACGCTGACACAGGCTCACACACCCACGCACACCACACCCACACCACCACGCCACACGCCACACACCCACACCCACACACACACAACACATGCCACACGCAACACACGGTCCTCACTCATAAGCGCACTATTCATGACTAACGCGAGGTGCGCGTGAGTCGGTGGGTACCGGCGAGAGCGAGTGGCGTCCACCCGTGCTTGTCCGTTTGGTTGGGATCGGCGCCGGCCTGGAGCAGGGCGACTACGTCGCGATCGTTGCCATAGAACGTGGCCACGAACAGACCAGGGCGCGGCCCACCCGTGGCAGCGGTCGTGGTCGTGTTCGATGGCGTAGCGGAAGATGAAGATGGAGATGTGGATGATGATGTAGTCTGCGTTGAAGAAGAGGTTTGATCTCGTCGAGCGGGCGATGGCTGGAGGAGCTGCGGAAGGTTGAAGAAGTTGATGTTGGATTGATGCACCTCGTCCAGGGCTGGTGCAGGAGGTTGGGGTCCATCGTTGATCGAATCGTCATCGTCCACAAGCTGTGGCAGAGTCGGAGCAGTATGGCTGAGGTAGGACGGCATAGCCAAGATTTGATGAACCGCCATGAACGGAGCGCTGCCGGATGAGCCAAGGGCAGGGCCATCTGCCGCAACGACGGGCATCATGCGCTTGAATGAAGATACAAACTCGCTAGATCGATCCTCCTCTTCCTCCTCTTCATCATCGAGCTCATGATCGAGCTCGCCCTTCTCCGATCGATCCCACTCGTCATCCCTCTCCATCTTCCTTTTTATTAATGCCAAAGTAACTTTGTTTTATTACAATGAAGCTTGGCCCATTTTGCATAGGTTGGGGTGGGACTCGAAGCCCTGTCACCCTTCCAGGTGCTGAGCTAGACTCGTCTATCGATTGACAGACAAGGCAAAGGTTTTGCCTGTAGTACGTGAGCCCATTGTGGTATGGAGAGCACTGTAGGCGGTCACTATTAGCGCTTGCGAAGAGTTCGTGTAGTCGTGGAGTGGTGTGATCGCCGCACCGCCAGCAGCGACTAGAACAATGCGCATGGGTGGGTGCAGCCCGAGGTCCCGCATTGAGACTTAAGGGTCGTGTAAGCAGCGACTGACATCCACTCCTGCAGGCTTCCTTCCGCTTCTCGGTGCGTGTGCTTCGGCGCCAGTTCCCAGGGAACGGCTGCGGTGCTTTATGCCATATGCAACCATCGCCATTGGTCCGCCTGGTCCATAAAACCAGCTGGCCCATTCCTTTCTTCTTCATCAAACAAGCCTCACTCAGCTACCCACGCCACAACAACTCAAGCATCATGCTGCGCCAACTCTTCGTGCTTTCAGCCTGCCTCGCCGCTCTCTTCTTCTGTGTAGCCACAGCTCAGCCGTGCCAGCTGTCGGTGTCGCAGATCACTCGATCGGGCGGGTCGTGGACGCAGGGCGACTTCTTCTTCCAGATCTACGACCTTCCCATCGTCAACACCGGCTCCAGCCCGGTCACCTCGGCCGTCATTGCCATCGACACGGCCCCCAATCAGGAACAGGTCATCACCCAGTTCTGGAACCTCGCACGACAGAGCGCCACCTCAAACCTCTTCAACGTGGCTAACCCCGGCGGCAACATCGAGGTGGGCGCCACTCTGGGCGCCGGCTACATCGTGCGCACGCCCCTCTCGGCCGGCTCTCAGGTGCCGCCCACGACCCGCCTCGTCTCGGTCAACTGCGTGGGAGGGCCTTCGCCCACAATCGTGGCCACTCCGCAGCCCTCGGCCTCGCCCGCGGCCGGGTGCAACGCCGCGGTGAGCATCGTGGCCCGCTCGGCGGCGGCCGGCGGCAGCTGGACCACGGGACCCAACCAGTTCTTCCAGATCTTCGACATCACCATCACCAACACCGGCCAGCGCCCGCTCAACGGCGGCGTGCTCACCTTCGGCCTCCCCGTGGCCGGCTCCACCATCACCCAGTGGTGGGAACTCAACCGACAGGGCAACACCAACGTCTTCAACGTGGCCTTCAACTTCGGCCCACTGCTGGTGGGCGCCAGTCAGGGCGCCGGCATCGTGGTGCAGACCTCGTCGCCCTCGCAGGCCCTCCCGTCGGCCGTGCTCTCCAACCTCGCCTGCGCCGCCTGATCGTGCAGGCCCAGCCCGAGACCACCGCCTGATCCCTTGATCAAGGCCGGCCCGAACCACCTCTTCCTCCTCTTCTTCGTCATTCACTTTGTTGTGCTTTGTTCGCTCATGCGTCATAAATCCTCATCTCCTTGCACTCGTGGCGGAGGATGTGATCACTCGGCGGCGGCGGTCCAGGGCTTCCAGCCGAGCAGCCTCTCGCCGAGCCACGAGGGCGAGGGCGCCTTGTGCAGTGGCACCTGCGTCGTTCACACAAAGATCGCACGTTAGCAACTGCGACGCACACAATGCACCGCACGACGTCAACACATACCTCCCAGGCAAAGTTGACATCGCCAGTGGCGTTGCTTGTGGAGAAAAGACGCGGCTTGAACCCCTCGCGCGACGAGCGAGCCACCTCCGCCGTATAGGCTATACCACACGCACCCACCACACCCCTTAGGCAGAGCCCAAGCTTGTGTGTTGTGCTGAAGACGCGGCCAAGGTGGCGTACTTTCGTGCTTGGCCGTGGGGATCATGCGGATGTAGCACTGGATGCGCCACTCGGCCGACATGTTGGGCATGGCAGAGTGAGGCAGCCGCGCGGACCAGATGACCATGTCACCCTGATATGCAGGCGCACACGCGTATTTAATGTGAGCCTGGTGTGATGTGTGGTGCGTGTGTGTGTGTGTGTGGTGTGGTGTGTGGTGCGTGGTGCGTGTGCGTGTGTGTTGTGTGTGAACCTTCTCCATGGGCACTTGGATGGCTCGCTTGTCGATGGCTTCTTGGTCCCTGAACCAGACGAACGTCTCATCTTCCGCGGGCACTCGGTGCTCGCCGAACTTTCCGTTTTCGTAGTCCTCGCGGTAGCGTTTGATATCCTCCAACTTGTGAAAGCCTGGCGGGGTGGCGCCACAGCGCGACACAGAGTGAACGGTGAGCTCATTCCATTGGTTGAGGTCAGGGCTGGGGTAGTGGTCGGTCGATCATATCACGCAGGCTCACTGCTGGTCGTCGTTACCTGGAATGCACTGGAATCCGCCGGTGGGACAATCGTTCAACGCAATGCCGGCCTGATACTTGTTCTCCGAGAGATCCCTGCGGGCGAAGAAGAAGCGATTGAGGAGACGAGGTCACATATATCTACGCCGTGCCAAGGCTGGGCCTGGCAGAGGAGGAGCCAGCCAGCCAGTACCAGAGGTTCATATCGTTGTGAATGTGGAAGATCTGCTTTCGCCTTTCTGGGAAATCGGCGATCATCTTGCCTGTGTGGCGCGTGGCGTGTGGCGTGTGGCGTGTGGCGTGTGGCGCGTGGCGCGTGGCGCGTGGCGCGTGGCGCGTGGCGCGTGGCGTGTGGCGTGTGGCGTGTGGCGTGTGGCGTGTGGCGTGTGGCGTGTTAGTGGGTTGCTGAGCGCACGCGCACGACTTGATAGTACCTTCGCTGTCGAAAACAACGGTGGGAGCGTTGAGGCACACGCGGTCGATGGAGACGGTCAGGTGCGGTTCGTTGAGCACCTGCGCAAAGATTGAGTACAGGCGGGGGTCCTGCCTCATGGCGTAGTACGTCGGGTTGTGCCAGATGTCCACGAATCCGATGGGACCCAGAGGCTGCACTCACATAACCGCACACACGCACACCACACGCACCACCGCACACATCAGCTCAACCAAAGTAAAGGTGCAGCATGAAGCGGGAGTGTACATACATCCCAAGTGGTGTGGTTGTCCTTCTCCACGCCCATGAGGGTGTGAGCGCGTTCGAAGACCTCCTTTTTCATCTGCTCGCAGGTCTCCTCGGAGAACAGGCCCTTTACCACCACATACCCGTTCTTGTCCAAGAACGCCTGTCGCGAGCAGCCCACACGGGTAAAAAATATTTTTATATAATAATTATTATATTTTTATATTAATAATACAATAAATAATATATATTATTTTGTGGACGTGGCTGAGGTTGTGGGTGTACCAAATCTTCAGGAGAGAACTGGAAGTCCAGTGCGTGAGGGTGCTTGCCCAGCGCTTGATTCTCCTCCTCACTCCGGAAGGGCGTGATTTCGTGCTCAGTCACCTGCTGTGCCATGGCCGTGTGTGTTGGATGCGTGTGCTTGGGGTTGTGGCGGGCAGGCCAAGCTCGAGCTTTTGTGCCTGCCTTATTGTGCCCCGAACCACCGAAGCTGCTTTGGATTGTTCGGCTGCCGCAAATTTTTTTATCGGGCCGCCAATGACGATCAGGCTGGCCCTCACTACATTCCTGGCATACTTGGGAGTGCCAGTGCCCCCTCTTGTTCTGGAGGGAGCCTTGTCGTTGAGGGGACAGCTGGCTGATGGCCGTTATCAGAAACAAAGAAGAACCCATAACCTCAATAGTGAGTGCACTCACTACCCAGGATCTGTTGGCTGGCCATGTGTAGCGCATATGAGTCCCGGAAAGGACAACTTGGTGGAATGATGGAAAGGGGGGTGTGACCCGAGGTTCACTGTAACGGACCAAAAAGGAAGCCACATAGTCCTTTTCGTTTAATCCGGTAGGCGAGTAACCGCTTGTCAAACAAAACACCCATTAACGAGAAGAAGAGAATAGTTTATTCCAACTCAGTGATTATGGTCGTGGAAGTGGAACATCGTTCACACTTGCTTGTCTCGGTATGTACACTCGTCGTCGATGTTGTGGTTGGTGGGTGGTCACGAATCGGGCTCAGTTTAGGAGGGAGTAGATGTCGGATCGCTTCGAGGCGCTCTGCTCGACCACCTCTGAGGCTGGGCTCGAACAGTCTGAGGCGGGGGATCGCGGGCTGCTGCACGAGACCGGCGACAGCATCGGCTCGTACTTGACTTGGCGAAGCGAGAGAGACGACGTGTCGATCGTGAAGCTGTGCTCGTGGTGGGGCAAGCGCACGCGCTGCTGGTTACCCGAGGGCGACGACGCGGCGGGCAGCTGAAAATGGTGATGGTGGTGGTGGTGCTGGACCAGATCCGCCATGCGCAGCTTGTGGAGGTCCTGCTGCCGCCCGGTCTTCTGACGCTCCTCCGCGGCCTTTCGCCGGTGGTACCGCTGACCGCACGCGTTGCACAGCCTGTTGATGAAGACGTAGGTAAGTTCATTGTTCACAACAGGAAAAAGGAAATCTTGATTTTCTACATTTTTATAGTGGTGCGAACGTACGAAGTGGCGCCATCGGGTCCCTTGCGCCACTGTACCGTGGACGACGTGCCGCACTGGCCGCACACGCGACCCGTCGTGCGCTTGGCCCGCTTGTGAGTCGGTGTGGTGCCGTGGGCGAGCTGGTTGTTGATGATGAGGCCGGGTGCTCGGTGGTGGTCGGATGAGGCCAACGCTGCGAGATCTACGCCCACGGCAGCGGTGGCTCCGCCGCTGTGGCCGAAGGGCAGGAGGACGAGCTGGGGCATCTTGCCCGAGGAGTTGATCAGTAGCTCGAGAATAGAGAGGTTGAGGCCGAGGGTGTTCTGCACGGAGGTCGAGGTGGTGGAAGAGGAGCTCATCTTCTCCAGAGGCTGTGAAAAGTTGATGGAGGAAGGTGAATCTCCCTAGGGCTCTGCTGCGTGCGTCTTGTGTTGTTGGTGTGTCTTGGTTGTTCTGCTCGCGTTCTTGGTTTTTAAAGCCAGTGCCACCGTGGCACCGTGCCACACGCCTAGCTACGCTCCCGATCCGGTAGCTGGGCGCCATCCATGCCGCCGACGGACAAACACCAACTGTCCTTTCTCGTGGCCCACTCAAAAGAGCACAGTAAATATTCCAAAAATGATGGCGGTAAAAACAACCAGATTCCAGAAATATTTTATCGAAACACCTGGTCTGCATTCCTAGTTTCATGGTTCTTGTCCCGCTCCGGCGCACGTTACCAGGCCGCAAAAGGCAAGGAAGGAAGGAAGCTTCGGCAACTGGCGACCAGTCGGATGCACGCCCGACGTCTTGCGACGTCCACCAACCTAGGAACCAGCGCCACCATCGATCATAATCGCCCAGCTCGCCGCCAACCCCAGCCAACAAAAAAAAATAAGGTTGACGTCGGTGCTCGGGTTCTGGCCGGTAACCGGCCGACAAACAGCAACGGGCGCGCTTAGCACTGCGGTACGGCCGTGCGCTCAGCCACGGCTTTCCTTCTTCGAGTTACCAGCCGGGCTGCTTCCTCCGCTGCCCCCGCCACTCCCGTTGCTGGCGCCGGTGACGCTGGTCTTGCGGCTGAGTTTCTTCTTGCCGATGCCGAGGATGCCCTTGAGCTTGCCCTCCTTCTTCTTGTCGGCCTTGAGGTCCACCTCTTGCAAATCGACGCTTCGTCGCTTGGAAAGGTCGTGGCCACCTCCTGATAACACGTGTTTTGTGTCGTGTGTTGTGTGTTGTGTGTGTGGTTAAATTCTGCTTCCGAGCAGTCGAGTGGATGGCATGTAGATGTACCGGGAGACAACGCGGATCCGTGGCCCTCCTTCATGTCGAGGATCCTCTCCACGATGGTTTCGAATGAGGAGTCAAGGGCGTCCTCCTCGACCGACGCCACCTTGCCCAACTCGAAGAACACGAAGCCCTCCTCGGTGGCCGCCTGCTGGCCCGCCTCAGCCGTAACTGCTTCTCCTGCACCCCCCGAATGCGACAAGATCAGCACACTGGCGGCGGCGGCGGCTGGTGGTGGTGGTGGTGCGACAGCAGAACAGCGAGCGGGGAGGATGCGGCCGCGATACCGTCCGTGCTCTGCGTGGGATGGAACGCGAGGAGGGTGCCGACGATGGGCGGGTTAAGCTTCTTGATCTCCTTGATCCAGGCCCGGGCCGTCTCGAGCGACTGGGCGCTCGTCGTGTCGTAGGCCACGATCAGCGTGTGCAGACCGCCGCGCAGGGCGCTCTCCGGGATGCCGG